GTCATTGAGTCTATCTTTCAAAGATGACTCTTCTAAGGAACTTATTCTTAATATTTTAATGTGAAGGAACATAGCATCTTTTTGGCTGCGAATTCTTCTAAAATTTGCTTGAATAATAGGCATTTACTGTGCTCATATAATGAGTCCTTATAACATAGGTGGTTAGTTCTGCTGCTCAGTGGTGTTCTCAAGGACCCAGGCTCTGTCTTCCTATTCTGACATCATCAATATATAGGTATAGATATGTCTCCTTGAAGGTTGCTAGAAGGCTAATGCTATTTAAAGCATCACCTTTTTAGCCAAGGAAATCTAAAAGCTGTAAGAGAGAAGTTGCTCTCTTTGCGCACCTTCCTTTTTGTTGAGGAGCAAAATCTTTCTAGACACTCTCTGCAGACCTTCGTTGGGCCCCAGTTGGCCCCAATTGAATCTTATGTCCACACTGCTGCAAGCGAGGCTGAGAAAATGAGTACCTGGAATTATTAACCTCTGTAATTGTAGGCTGGCTCTGCTGTGAGCAGTATAAAGATTGACATTTTTGTCTTTCTGGTTTACTGCTGTATCTCCAGAACCTAGAATGGTTCTAGGTCCTCAGTAAATATCTGTCAGATAAATGAAATAATAAATAATGCAAGAATGTTGTTCACATCCATAGTGTGCCACAGAAATGAACTTACACAATAAGGACTTGTTGCTCTCCTGGTTTTCCCTCTATTCTTATTGTGGTACCTTGAACCAGGCTTTCCTGCTTGGCTTTCAAAATAAGCTCTTAGATTACCCAGGGTTCCTTGCAACTTTTAGTAAGGCAGGATTGGACTTTGGGTAATTAGGACATTTGGCAACACCCTCCACTTGGGCCCTTTACTGTTAAGACTACCTTTTATTTTTTAATCTAAAGGCACAAATTATAGACCAAGTTTAACCATTTTATATAACAATTGTAATTGAAGAGACACAGAGCAAGGAATTTCTGTCCTTTAGAATAAGGGTGGCCTCGTGTAAACTGCTGGTAGATGTCACTTCCTGTGTTTGTTACTGCTTTTGGATTTGGTTTGTGGGAATGTAGGCATGAAACAGGTGTCCCTAACCTTCCCAATTAGGATCACTCCTCAAAGCAGCTGTGTTAATGACACAGCCATTTCTCATTTTAATCTGGTGACTAAACTATAGCCCACTAAGCCAGACTCAACAACTGTATACCACCCTTCCCTCATTGCTGGTTTCCTTGTTTGCCCAATTTTGTTTCCCCAAGATTGTTTCCCCAATCTGTGTTAGGCTGCTGCTGACTAAAGCCATGTACACGAGGCTAACACGGTATTTAGAATTACAAGCTCAATGTTTGTGATGAAAGTTAGAAATGCTAAGATTGGGCAGGAGATTGTAGCAGGAGATTAAAGACAAGGGTCTTTTCACTATTAATAATAAATATATTATTCATATATTATGTCATATAAGGAACATTTTAAAAATTTATGGTATTTCTCCTTGGGTTTGTTTCACCCACTAATATTGTCATTGGATGTATTGTTGTTTTGTCTATTTTCAGATACCTTAAATACTCCTAAATGTGGCAAATGAAAATATAGTTTCTCTTTGAAAGAGATGTGTGCATGAGTTGGATTTCCACTGTCCCATGTGTTTCTAATGGGAAAAATTCCATTAAAACATGCAACCAAATTCTTCTCTTTACACTTGACTCCCAGGACACCCTGTAATGTGCAAACATGTTTGTTTCCTCTGATATAGTTGCAGGCCTCGTAATTATTATTGCTTCATAGAATTTGAGGGTTTGAGCTAAGAGGAATAATGGCTTTCTAAATAACTCTTTAATTCCTAGCTCAGAGACTTGTATGAAATAGGTACTTAATAAATATTCATTGAATTAATTGGCTGGAAATTGTTCCTGGACATATTCCTATTAATATATAGGCACTTAGGTACCTTTTGTTCCAATGGGGTTCCATGTTTTTCCTCCTAGCTTATGTGGTAGCACAGTTCTTTATTTACCCTTATTGCCTCTCTAGTCAATGATACGTCTATTTCAATCACACTAGACCTAAATGTATTTTTAGTGTGTAACCTTGGGGAAATTACATAATCTTTTTGTGTTTTGGTTTCCTTATTGATAAAGGAGAATGATAAAAGTAATCACCTCATTAGATTGTCATAGATAAATGAATTAATAAATGTTAAACACTTAGAGCAACCACCATTCATGTTAGAACTAACTAGTTGGTTAATTGCAACCATTGATTGGCTATGGATACAAAATCAATGAAAGCATCCTGTGATCATTAAGTGACTGTGGAATTTACAATAAAGTATGTTTTATATATTCTTATTATATGAAAATTGTGTGCTAGCCATCCTTTATGTTTGTAAAATTTATAACAGCCTTATGTACAGATAGATATACACACAATATTTTTGTTGTTTTGAACATTTACCACTTGGGTAACGTTGCCTCCTCTTTTGTCCCTCAAGCTTATGGATGGTTCTCTAGTATATGGATAGTGTCTGGATGTAGCTTGTAGCAGATGCTGTTGGTATCCTACCCAGATCTCCTTTACTGGGCCAGTGCATCCATCTCCCAGCTGCTGTGGGTATTGGCTGCTAATGACTCACACCTGTACCCTTCTCCAGAGGACTGCCCTTGGCTGACAGTAATTGCCCCAACCAAATATGTCTGGGAGATTATGAAATGAGGCCCCAGTCCCCTCCTGTTCCCTTGGGGTGGCTCATAGCCAATGACTATACAGGGTGTAATAGCCCAGCCTCCTTGCCTCTGGACTGGACAACTTCTGTGGCTCAGTCCACACTCTAGAGTTCCTCGTGGCATCAAGTTGAGGCTAGGTTTCTGAAACAATATCTTTGCCTAGCTTCTTCCTTCATTCTAGGTTGCTTCTTTCACTCCTGGTTTTTCCTAACAGCACTCTATCTATAATTAGGTGTACAGTAAAGGCCATCTCAGGCTCTGCTTCTAGGGAACCTAACCTAAGATGTTGCTCATCTTAGTACCCCTTTTGTTTGCTTTGTTCCACCATCACTTAATGCAACTATTTCACTATATTAAATAATCTCTGGCTTAAATTTATTCTTTCTTTTTGTTTTGTTTTCTTGGTTGGACCTAGTCTAATATGCATTCTCCCTATTCATATCCCGTATCTTTTCATATTAATATTACTCAACATCAAATATCCTTGATTCTCTAACATACCTACTTGTTTTAATATAGTATAATGAAGACTATCCTAGATTTTAGGATCTGAAACTTAATTGCAAAGCCTGAGTCAATTATACTTCCCTCCTTGGATTGTTGTAAGAATTATATGAGCTATTCTTTTTAAAACACTTGGAAATGCTTAACAAATGGTGGCTGTTTGATTACTGATATTATTCTTTTAAGAGATTTGCCTCACTTTGGGTAAGATGTCTTATGTTTTGCTCCTAGAGCACCTACTGAATACCTCTATGACAGTACTTTGTTACACTGTATTATAATCTTTTGAATTTTCTTTCTATTTCTCCCAGAAAATATCACTTTCTCAGTGTCATCAAGTGGTATGTTGGCTCTCTGGGAAAGGAAAAGTCCTGATATGTAGTATTTGCTGATTTCTGCGGTGAAATTACTTCCTCCCTGGATGATTTTAAGCCACCAGCATGATGTCACTGAACACAGAGTTGGGAAGAGATGCACACAGGTGGCCCTTGCCAGCCACTACACACTAACGCCAGTCCCCACTGTTTCTATCCCTAACACGTATCACAGTATGTTGAACATACAGGAGCGAGGTGATCAATGACAGACTAAAATATAGTTATTGACTGGTTAGGACCTGATCATATACAGTAAATTGGTAAAATTCCTTGAAATCTAATTTTTGTTATATGATCAATAACACCCTTTCCCTATACACACACACACACACACACACACACACACACATTCTAACATACACACAAATTGCCCATCCTATTCATGAATTAAAGTAATAAAACCAGTTTTCATGATGTAATGGGAAATGTCCGTGCCTTCCCTGGGCAGGTTGTCTGCTAACTCAGATGTAAATCCCAATTTTGTAATTTACTAGACACATAAATGAGGCTCACTCACTTCACTTCTCTCTGCCTCAGTTTCTTCGGAGAGTTGGATTGAATAATATCTAAAATTTTTTCTAGTCTCAAAATTTGCTTAATTAGTATATAATTTCATTCTCTCATCCCATCATTTTCTTTATTCCTATATTGAACTTTGAGTTATATGTTGTACTAGATATTGGAAATACAAAGAGGAATAAGATGTGCCTAGCCAAAAAGAATCTCCATATGTTTTTATAAACATCTCATATCATTGAGAGAATGAGTGTACGCTCGTTGCCTTTTATCCTTCTCCATGGGTTATGAATGCAGATGGATTTATACAAATGTACCAAAGGCCAAGTTTTTAGTTGTTCACAAAGTTTAGCACTTTTGACACATAGAGTTATTGTGCTCATAACTCCACATGAAATTAAACGAGGCTGTCATGATCTTCAAGCAGTTCTATTAAAAAATATCACCAAGCTAATGTTAATGGTATGGAAAGAAGCTTTGGTTGACTTCTAGGTCACCCTGCTCTCTGAGTTAAGTTCAGACTCAATTTGTAGAGAATATAGTTCATTTAGGACTATTAAGCAAAGTCTAAAAATATTCTTTTGAGTTGAAGTCTAAGAAGTATTTATCCTGGTTCTCTCTCACACATTTTGATGTGAAAGTTATGAAGAATGACTCTTAAGCTTTTGTGTTCTCTGTCAAGGCCATATCTACCTATTGACTCCAGTATCTTCTTTGTTCCAGTTCATTCTGATCTGTGCTTTTTCTAAATTCCTGTTCTTTTCCATACCACAGAGTTTAGCACTTAGTGTTCAAAAGATATATTGGTTTCTAGTAGGAATTACTGTTGGGAATGTTTTTCAGTTACTGAAAGCTATTTTTCAAAAGGAAATTTGTTTCGTTTTTGACAGGGGCTGATAATATCCGGAAATACTGGAGCCGCTACTACCAAGGATCTCAAGGGGTAATATTTGTATTAGACAGTGCCTCTTCAGAAGATGATTTAGAAACTGCTAGAAATGAACTGCACTCAGCTCTTCAGCACCCACAGTTATGCACTTTACCCTTTTTAATATTGGCCAATCATCAAGACAAGCCAGCAGCTCGCTCAGTACAAGAGGTATGTCTCATTAATGTGACAGTCTTTGTCTACCTTGTTTGTTGGACTTTTAATGCCATATTTGAACACGGAAAGATACATATAATTAGGGATATACTGGTTATGATGTTTTCAACATGAAACCTTAGTTTTCATAGGAAGCAGAAAGTCTATATCAATCTGATAGCACCTGTTTACATATTTAATCCTTCTTGGATAGCACAGATTGTTTTTAGCTGATTAGCAGAAGTTAAAGGATGTTTCTGGTTATTTTTCTTACCTGTTTTGAAGAGTTAAAAGCCTGGTTATTTAACATTTATTTAACCTACTGACTTAATTCATTCCCCTCTAGCTTTTCAAGGAAAGCATCAAGTGTATTATGGTGTATGACTTGCCCTCAAATGCCATGTTCTTGTCCCTCCGAAATGCTCACTGTTGACTAGGAGCAATGAGTTCTGTTATCAGCCAGGCTGAAAATTAATGTCTTATCATACAAGTTCTATGCCACCAAATACATTTTAACATGGACCCACTGTTTATCTTCCTCACTTAATTTCATTTCTTAGCTTATGTCTCTCTTATAAAAGCATGAGACTGATTCTGGGCAAATAATTAGTGCCTCATCCAGTAGAGCTTCTGATTCATGCTACTAAAGTAATAAGGTATGCAAATAGTTTTTAAAACTTGAATTATGATAATTATAACCTAAATACAGTGAAATCAAAACTCTTGATGTATTCCTTTATGCTTGTAACTTTCAGAATGTATTTTCCTCTCTCCTTCAAAAAATTGTGTGCTTCCTCAAGTGACTTTGGAATAAGATGATTAATAGGAGTGCTATTACCCTTTAGTCCAAAACATAGATGCGCCAAGAACATAACATGTTCTAACTCCAAACCTCCCTCATACTTAGTGTGTGACCCATGGCAAATAGCTTTGTTCCTGTGCTTGGGTTTCTCACCTGTAAAATAAGAATAATGCGATTTATTATGTTAAGTGATGGGATTAATTTGGATAATTTACTTTGAAGTTTGAAGTACTAAGTGAAAGCGTAACCATATTCAGAGAGTTTTAAGTTTTAGAAAAATGGTAGAGACAAGAATATATTATTAAACAGAAAGTGCTCATGTCTATCTTTAGTTGCTTCATTCAGCATTAAGTGTTTAGCAACTTTTTTCTTTCTAGATTTTAGAAAGAAAAGTCTTATAGAAAATAGTAATTAAAGTAAAAAATAGCAATAAAAATCTATTCAGAAAGTCATCAATGTGCAGATCTTTAGCATTGTAATTGTGGTGCCTTCCTGATCTGTTCTTAAGACCCTAAGTAAAACTTTTAACTTTCCAGCATCAGTTTTTCTGTCTGTAGAATGGACATAGTTGTATGTAATATGGGTAGTTATGGATGTTAAATTGATTTGTGATTATAAGGTCCTTTGCTGCAAATGCATTGTTATTCTGATATTCATTGTGGAAATATGGTTATATATGTGCATATTACAGAATACACATAGATAATTTAATATGTATATATGATATATATACATATTAATGTTACCTATGATAGATGTAAAGTACCATTATAATTTCAAATCATGTTATTCAAATTATATGCAATATCTGAAAAGAGATTTTCTTTTCTTTTTGCTTTTAAATTTAAGAAACTTTTTATCTGTTTTCCTTAGACATCATATAATTGAAAGTAACGTATTCTTTAAACCCACCATATGACTCTTGGTAACCCTCCATAGGAATTAAAGACTGTCACATTGAATAAAGGAAGCTTTTAGCAACTAATTGCTTCTGAGTATTCTTTGTGTGTATTGACTTGCTCTCCTAGGTAAAGGGCAAATATCTTTTTCCCCCTTTTTGTGATACATCTTTTAGTAAGACGGATGACTGTAAATGTAGAGTAGTTTTAGAAATACTTTGAAACTGATTCTAAACTTATATATACTGGGGCGTATGTGACTTTGACTTCTCTCTTTATTTGTATCCATTTTAAATTAACTTTTCTCAAAATTTGTGCCTATAATGGAATTTGCATGATACCATTTCCCTGTGATTATAAAAACACATACCATACAGGTGCATGTTAACATTTCAGACTGCTTTAATGGGATACATGGGCAAATTCCATTATAAGTCTAAAGGTTGTGGAAGCATAATGAATTGCTCATACTTACTGTGGGTTTGCCCCCCTCCCCAAAAAAGAGAGAAGCTTCCTGGACTTTTGCCATTTCTTTATGACAAAGAGGTTTCTCTGTATAGTGTGTTTTAATGCCCTATTGAAATACTCTTGGGAATGGTTTAAGAATTAATATTTTATTGTTAGCATAAAAATGGAGTTGTGAAACTGAATCTTAAACGTTTTGTAAACAGTAACCTCAAAATGGTTGGCATGTGTAGAAGAGGGGTTAGAAGATTGAAAAATTAGCAAAGTCACAAGTTACTTGAGAAATATATTTAGAAGTGGTCATCTAAAAAGATGACCTTTCTTTCATAAAGATATCGCACACCCATGACCTATTACTGTTAAACATTTTTATTCATTTGTATCTGTTAATTTATGTATATTGTATGGAATTTCCAAATGCTAAAAAGATGGTGCTTTGTTCTGCAAAATACCTTTGAATTTTAGGCCAAATTCTGTTCTTTCAGAACCAAGGAAGATGCATTCAGCTTACCAAAAAACACTGAACTTTGCAGTTAAGAAAAGAAAATGGGTCGTAAAGACTTATTTTATTGATTCTTCTCCTCCCCCTATTGGAAATTATTACATTTTTGTCCTTAATGCAGAAAATGTGGAATTATCTATCCTGTCACTGGAGTAAAACTTTATGGACTCACTTATTATTTAATGAGGATATCAGGATATTGTTGACTTTAGAAGCAGGTAGAAGCCAGTGAAATCCCAAGGAGAAAGCTGAGTTATCTATGCAATTCCAATAGAGAATAAAAATCATTACGAAGTTCTATATTTAGTCCCTTCCCCTACTATGAGTGTTGCTGTGTTTGTTTGGAACACTGAGTCAAGAAATGAAGACAGGACATACGGGAATAACATTTATCGGTTGTCGGGCAGGTGGGAGGGAGGAGAAAGGGATGGGTATATACAAACACAACGAGTAAGATGTGCAATGTTTGGGGGATGGTCACGCTTGAAGCTCTGACTCAAGGGGGGAGGGGAGGCATGGGCAGTATCCATAACCTTAACACTTGTACCCCCATAATATGCTAAAATTTAAAAAATATTAAAAGAAGAAATGAAGACAATGGTTAAAATTACTATGTAACCCACAGACAGAGGGCAACATGCCCAATTATTTTCTTGCCCTTTCAGAAACAAGTGGAGTCTTGTACATCACATATTTTTCCTTTCTAATACACCTGGTAATGACCTGTGTTTCATTTACCAGAATTTTAAGATTTTATATCTTGAGAACTGATAGTGGAAACATGTATTTTTTAACAAATAAGCTTAAAAAAATAATGAAACGCTGGGAAAAAGAATACCCTTTACATACTGTCTGAAAGCCAAGCAATTCTTGCAACAGATGTTTGTTGTATTCACTTTGGGGAGGTGTAGTTACCACAGTTTTCCAGAATTTACTCATATCAACTATTTTTCTCTATAGAAAACACGCTACAAAAATCTGTAATTATGTCAAGTGGCCCACTTGATACATTAGGGGAAATTCTGGTCTAATTAAAATAATAAAGCTCTAAAATAAGAGAAATCTTAGGGGTAAATAGTTGGTTTTTTATTTTTATTGTATTGTAATTGTATCTAATTTGTTTTACAACTCCCGTAGGAGAGCATACTTCAGTTCTGAAGTTATTTAATAGATCAGGAGGATTTTATGAGAAGTTAAGTTGATATAGTAGCCAATAAATGTAATCCTATTTTCCCTTTACACAGTGCTGATTATGATTCTTTTACTTCCTGGCTTTTAAAATTTTATTTTTGTTTTATTGGGTATTACTGTGTCTTATAAAATGATACTTTTTGTTAACATGAAAGAAAGAGTCCATATTTTGAGCAATCACATCTGATTTGATGTTTGTCTATGTTCTTAATCCAAAAGTATTTAACTTTTTCAGAAATAGTACGTCAAAAGTATAGTGTTAACTATTTGCTGAATATTTTCTATTAAAACAAATATTAATCAAGAATTGTGAAAACTGTGAAACAGATTTTTGAAGTAGAATTATAAGGTCAAATTACTCTGTTGAGTCCATGGCTCATTGGTTGTAGCACAGGAAAATATAACTTCTACATTAGCATGTCAGTATCTCTCAATTTTTCATGCAATTGTGATTCAGTTTGTTATTGTGATATGCATAGAACTTGGTGTTTTGAAAAGAATAATATATAAATGTGAGGAGAATATTTGGAAGTATTTTTAATAATATAAACATTACTGGTTCCTTTAGAGCATGTTTTTATTTTGGTTATAAATATTCAGATTTTTTTTGAACAATGAAGTCAATACTCTGTCATGAATAGTTTGTTGAGTTCTTATTTTTTAGTATATAGACATCTTCCAGAAGAGGATATTAGTATGTTTTTATGGTATTTAACTATCACATTTAATTATAATTACTTCTTATTTATAGATAGTTATTTCTACATAGTATACTTTCTTTTCTTTTTACAAAGGATCAGAAAGGGTTTTGACAGATTGGAATTTTTGGACAATATGTGTCCTAAATAATAAGCTAGTTTAAGATTTTTTATTTTATATTTATATTGCTTGATAACAGATCAGGTTTTTTTGGTAACTCTACGAAGTAGTGAATATCTTCTCTTATTTTACAGGACAAACCTTTTATTAAAAAATGCAAAGCAGTATTTAAATCATGTAAAATACTTAGCTTAATTTAATATTATTTTCTGTATATGGAAATATGTGTGTGTTTGTAAAATAATCAGTGGAAAGTGTCATATACTTTAAATCTTAGTGTTCCAAGTATCTTGACCTGCTTTTCTGGCAGCATTTTAGAATACTGATTTGATTTCAC